ATTTTTTGATAGTCGTAAAATCGACAACTTTCACCCGTCAGACAGTAAAATTGGAAAACAAGTTCCGTCAGACAATATTAAAAATTTGTTTTTGCAGTTGTTATTCACGACGTAGTGTTAATGTATAATTTTATGTTTTATTATATTTTCAATAGATTGTTGGATAGGCCAAATTTGACGAAATGTCCCTGAAGATGCTCTAGGCATTCAACCTTATATCATTTTACTTACATATTAGATGCACTACCACTGAATTTAATATAGTTAAATATTTAATAAAATAAGTTATACTTGAAATTTGCTTCTATTTGAGAAGCGTGAGAAGAACTATTACTTGCTTCTATTTGAGAAGCTGAAAAGGAAGTTTGACTTGCGTGCTTCTATTTGAGAAGGCCAAGACGAAGTGCTTTAAGGGTAGTTGGGTTTGAATAGTTTAAATCTGAAGAACTGAGAGGCGCAGAAGATACAATATAGCAGAAAGAAAGCATGTCATGCTGATTATATCTCTTTAAATTAGTGAAAATAACAATTATCGTTTATTTATTAAAAAAACTATTGTAGAAAATACAATTAATTTTCTACAAGTGGAAAGCCTTGAATTTAAACTATTTTTAGATTTCTTTCTCCATATTGGTACAATATCACTTTCGGAGACTAAGTGATTATTGGAAAACTGACCTCTTATTTAACTTACCATTCTTTAGAAGATACATGTCAAAAAATAGATTCTTTATCATCTTGAGATGTCTCCATTACTTCTTATTGCGCTGATTCCTTTCGAAGGTTGGCAATACAAATCGCATCGCAATTATAGCTTTGGAAATAGCTGCACGAAATGTTTCTGTGCATTCTGTGGATGAGCCGTCAAACCATTTCCTCAGATCTTTCAGCCACGAGTTCTGGCGTCTTCCAACTGATCTTTTGCCCTGTACTTTACCTTCCAATATGATTTGGGGTAATTCATATCTTTCAGCTCACAACACATTGTACTTTCCCTGATCGAAATACAAATGATCGCCTTCATAAAATAAGACAAGTGGTCGCATACTTCAATAAAAAAAATGTGTGAAGTGTACTACTCAAACAGAGAACTTTTTTTAGAGGAAGCTGTAGTTATGTGGCGAGACAGAATACAATTTAAACAGTGTATAATATAAACATTACATTAAATTGTACATGCTAACTAAACCTACTGTGTTAATTTTGATATTTCCCATTTATGAAAGTGCTTGCCTCTGATATTTATGGCGGATCAAGATACAAAGAGAAGATATTTTTGTTTTTATTGGAGGATAAATTAGGCAATGAGCATGCTGCCTACTTAGACAATTTTTTTAACAATGTAAAGTTAGCGAGAAAACTTAAGACAATAAAATGTATTGTAATGGAACTTTGAGAATAGACAAAGTAATCCTAAAGTAGTAACCGCCAAACTGAAAAAGGGTGAAAATAAATCGATGTTCAAACCAAAGATGGAGCATACTGTGTAAAATGGCGAAATAAAAGAAACGTTACCTACATTACCACAGAGCTTGGGAACATAATGGGAAAATTTAAAGATAAATGGCTTTATGAGTGAAATTGACAGGCAGGATTAAATGTTGGCTTACTATCACTGAAAACAAAAAGCCATCAGGTGGTATTAAAAGAATTTTTTCATGTACTGTAAATGAGTTTACTAAATGCTCACCATCTCTATAAAAAGTACTCTGGAAGAGAAAGGTTGTCATTGTACGATTTTCGTTTAAAAATTATAACAAGCTTGTTGGATAAATATGGCAGTAAAGAAAAATCAGTATCTTTACAAAAGATCCATAAAATTAGTATAATAAAAAAACGATGCGAAAAACGACAAATTTTAGAAGCCAACGAATTTACCAGAATTGCTCAAAAAGAATCCAGATCCTGTAGAAGGAACAAGAGGAGAAAGCTGACTATTTTTGAATGTAAAACATGCCCGGTATATGTGTAGAATTTTTTTTTGTTGACTCACAAAAATTTATTTTACTCTTCATTTTTTATTGTTTTCTCTATTCATATCTTAGCAAATAATTTTGTTGTTGGTAATTTCGCCACTTATGACTTTTGCTAAAATAAACAAATGTATTTAGTTTACCACTGCAATAGAATATTCTAACACACCTCTAGGTGCATTCTGGCGCCGAGTAACTGATTTCCTTATCCAATGCCGTTCACAACTATAGGTGTTTTAATTTAATTTGTGTAATTTTTATCACAAAACCTTCATTTAAATTTATTTATATATTCATTTATACAACAATACACACAATCTTTAACCCTCCGAAAGTCGCGGCTGATCCGAGAGATACATTGAAAACATTTTTATAAATATTTTTAAAGAAGTGCATCGTATAATTCTACGGCACTGTCTAGCTTCACATTTATGTCTTAGGAGTGGAGAAACACACAACCTCGGCTTTCAAGGAATTTATAGCGGTTGAGATTGAGAAGTAAACGTTTGTCATAACCGAATAACAGTTGTATCTGACAGATACCGTGACCTCGCAGATCGAACCTATTCGCTCCGTGGGTCTCGCCTCTATTTACAGTCACGTGACACGCTGTCAGATTTGTGAGGACGTTCTAGTATTGAGTCTTATGGGATTATTTTGTTAAATTTAAATATTTTATTTTGTGGTGTTAACATCCGGATCCGGATACAATTTTTAGAATTAATTAGTTATTCATTTATAGTTCAACAAAAATATTTTTTGTCGTTTCTGCGAAAGTGAGGTTATATATACATGATCAACATCCATGGTACAATGAATATGTTCATTGTGCCATTCACAAAAGCGTCCTGATAAAATTTCAAACAATCGCCACCATGAGCAGGTCAGTCGATTTTGCTTTGACACTTTCTTAACCCTCGGAGTGAATATTTTTTCGTGTTTATTTCGTTGTGTAACCTATATTATATTCAGAATGTCGAAAAAGGTATATAAGTTTGATGATCCAAAGGATGTTGAAGAGCTTCAGAGTACGTTTCTCGATTCTGACGATGAAAATGAGTTTGAAGACGAAAGTGGCGTGGACGAAATCGACTATGTCGAAGAGCGATCAGAAAACTCGGACAGCGAACAAAACAATTCTAGTGAGGAGAGCGAAGAGAACGTATATAAAAACGAGGAGTATTTATGTCAATTGCCTCTAGTAAGAAATACTGCAAAAACTGAATATGAATTCTGAAGCTGTTTCGTGTCAGAAGAGCTTTTAGATTTAATTTTACTTTATACGAATAAATACATAGACTTTATTTTAAGTAGATATTCCAGAGAAAGAGATGCTAAACAAACGGACAAAATATAACTAAAATATTTTTTGGGCCTTTTGTATTTAGCTGGGTTACACCGCAGTAATGGACTAAATTTGGAAGATTTATGGGCAACAGATGGTAGTGGAATTAAATTATTTAGACAATGCGAAGATTCTAATTTGTTCACAACTGTATAAGATTCGATGACAAGACGGCCTGGCCAGATCTTTTTACTATTTGTAGAAAATTGCAAAAAAGGATACTGTATGAGACAAAACGAGATGTTGGCAAGCTTTCGGGGCAGATGCGGATTTAAGCAATATATCCCATCAAAACCTAACAAGTATGGGATTAAAATTTTTTCCATAGTTGATTCTAAGCTATTTTACACATGCAATATGGAAATTTATGCAGGAGAGGACTGCTGCCTGAAGGTCAATTTTGTGTCAGCAATAAACCAGTAGATGTGGTCAAGAGATTAGCCGAACCTATCTATAATTCAGGACGAAATATCACTGCTGATAATTGGTTCACCGATCTAACTCTCGCCAGCGATTTGAGAAAGAACACACTATATGTAGGGACAGTCAGAAGAAACAAACGTCAACTACCACCTGAATTAGTGAGTACATCAAACAGACCAATACAATCTAACTTTTTTGCTTTTATTGAAGATTGTATTCTTGTATCGCATGTGCCGAAGAAGAGAAAAACGTAATTTTAGTATCTAGTATGCACTTCCATGAAGTAAATTCAGATACGTACAAGCCAGAGATAATCAATTATTACAATCAGACGAAATCAGAGGTTGACACTGTAGACTGAATGGTTGGTTCGTATAATGTAGCCAGAAACAGCAGAAGGTGGCCTATGATGATAATTTACGTCGTCTTAAACGGTGCTGGAATCAACGCACAGTCCATTCACATGCTAAATCAGAATTAAAAAATACGACGTAGACTGTTTATTCGAAACCTTTCAAGTCAGTTATTGTCAGAGTAGATGAAACGGCGATCGGATATTACTACAGGTATTCACAGACCAATGCAGCTTCAGCTCCAGAAACATAAGGAGGAAAGTTCAACTAGTGGGGAAGATCCAGATGTTGCTAAAACGGGCAATAAAAGAAAAAGGTGTTCTTCTTGCTATGCGACAAAGACGACGCGTTTGTCCAAATACTATTTACTGTTTTACTAATCCTTCCGCGGATGAATCTGATTAAGTTTAGCTAAATCTAATTGTGTGTTTGGTTATTTTTGCCTTAGATTAGTAAAAATAATAATAGTTATTAAGTACATGTTTTTATTTTGTTATGTTCTTAATACTGCATTTATTTTATTTTCTCTTGACAATAAATTAATTTAAATCCGCTTATTTTTTTATTAGTTATGTTAAAAATAAACGTTTCTTCCGATCTCGATCAGTTAGTTTTTTTTCAATCTTATTGAAACATTAAACTTAAACGAATGTATCTCTGAGATAAACCGCGACCTATACAGTATACTTTATGACCGCGACCTCCGAAGGGTTAAAAAAACTAGTTTAAATTAGGTACCGGACAAAAATGTTATAATTTTTATCGGCAGTTAACCTGTTAAGCGAACCTTCAGAATTGTTAAGCCTCATATGACTAATCCCATCAGTTATATATGCCATTTATTCGCCATATTAAGTACATCCTTTATAAAATTTTGAGAAAGGTTAAAAAATAACACAGAAAAATCTACATACTAAATTTTATTATTACAATATCAACTAAAACAGTACTTACTAGAAGAATAGTCCATATTCTCTTAAATTTAGTAAAAAATGATACTTTACACAAGCCATTTGGGAGTAATTATTTAATTATTCAATACGCATCTTGACAAAAGTAAAATAAATATACCTATCACATCAAAAAAAAAAAAGAAGAAAACGAAAGATATAGGTTATAGTGATTCGAAAAACAAAGCTTTTATCATATCAATGAAATATATATTTCAGATTGATATTAAATATTTCAAATGCTCAGTATAATCAATTGTTTATTCATTTACTATAGGTTTGTTTTAACAAAATTCGAAACTTATCCAGCCGAGACCTCCAAAATGATTTGCTTGTACCTCAAACCATTCTGACTTTTGGATGTTTGAAGTTATAAACTAGTTAATTAGTGCAATTAGGTCACTAATTGCAATATTATTAACAAAACATCCATATTCTATAAAACTGAGCTTCAATTTCGAAGTATATACAAGTAAAAGTAGTGTTTTAAGAATCATATGTAGGATAGCACAAAAGCATTCTACACAGTACGAATTGCACGAATAGAAACTATTTTGATAATTCACAAGTATATATGACAACAGTAGAAAAACTGTAGGAATAAAATGGGCCGGAACTACCAAAAAATTTCCGGAAGTTTTTATTAATCACAAGCACAATCTCAAAATCAAACATTTTAAAGGTAGGGTCCATTTTAAGATCAAGTAGTGTGTATATTTATTGATGAGTTAAAAGGTGTGTCATTTCATTTTTGCAATTTTTCAGATTAGATGATTTGTATATCTGACAAAGTTAAAACTATCAATTAAATTAGCGTCTTTTGTGTCATTAGCTGCCAATTAACGATCAAAATTGCACAAATGATTTAAAATGAACACTTGGATTCTTTTACAATCAAATATAAGCCTTATGTAAAAAATATGTATGTATTCACAACTAATCATATTGTTAAAAATATCTAATTAGGCATAACAATAATAATTCTAAAATATCTGTTAAAGTTATCTTACAAGTTTCCAGCAAGCTGACGATATGAATAACAAATTCGTTGTTCTTTGGTGTATTTCCTAGTGAGCTCAATCGTTAATTCAGGATAGTATCTTATATTACAGCATATTTCCCTCGAAAATAGGCTGGTATCACAATATATATCAGTAGGATTGTTGACGGCAGTTTTAAGTTTAAACAACGCTTAAAAATATTCAGCCTGGATGTTGAAAGACACGTTTTATACATATACTTATAGAATACTTTGAAGATTTGCTTATGTACTGATTGCAGCTCGATGCTGACCAATTTAGGTCGACAACAAAACTGCTGATTACCGGATGAAATAGCACATTTCCTTCACTATCACGAAGATTGGTAATCACTTCAGTAACAATAAAGTGCTTTCTTGATGTCCTCTTAAAAGTTCACTGAAAACTTGTATAATTCTTATTTAAGATATTCGATATAAAATGTATTCTTTCACAAAATCTATCTTGTTAATTACCTTAAAATATACTTAAGACCTGATATTTGATTGTATTTGAAATACCCAATGATATTTTGTCTTTTTTATTGTCTGAAAAAAATTAAGTAGAATACAAAAATTTGGCAACCATAAAACGTTAAGAGCCGTGTCCAGAAAAATGAAACATTCTTTTATTTTAATATTAATACAGAGTGTTCATAGGCTTCTTATACTTTTCATACTTTTTAGAACCTCGTTCATAATATAAAAAATTTAAATGTTCATGTATACTCTTTTGATCACATTGTTTTCTCACTATACTAATTCTCCTAATCGTTTGATATTTCTACAACACCCTGTATTACCGAATATCGTTCAGTAAAACATTTTATTAACTAGTAACAGAAAGTTTCAGATCTTACAATTTACATGAAATAATAAAATATTCACAGATAAATCGATACTATTTCTTCTTAGAAGCTATAAAATGCAACATTTTTTTTCTTCTACCTTAATAGTCGAGAGCATTTGATAAAAATTTATCTGGAATTCTTCTTATTTATTGAATATTATTCCTAAATGGTCAATTAAGCATATCATTTACGAATTAGTGGATGTGTTGCAACTATCAAATATTTTAAACATAAAGGGACTAAAGATCTCTCTGTATACTTTTATATTATTCAACTACTATTTTGGATACCCACTGTACTATAGAAATTGTTGTAGTAAAAAATATCAAAGGTGAATAAATTTACAACTCTTTTAAAAATAATATTTTCCTTTGCATATTTTTTATCGTCAAATATTTGTAACTGTACTAATACGCGCATTTGTATATGAATTTACGCGCGAAGATTCCGATTGAGTGAAAATTACTCACTAGCAATATTTAATGGGCAAATTTTAAATGATTTTTTTTATACATATAAATTTCAAGACCGAAATATAGATGGTGTATAATCTTCCATCTTTTCTGAGACTCAAATTCCAAAAACTCTTTGATACACCCTTTCTTTTCTTGTTTTACATCTTTATTGACAACTGTATTCCACAATATTCATCGTCAGTAGTAAAATCATTATGTTACTACTGTTAGATAATATTTAAATGTAAAAAGTAACTAGCCATTGCGATTCAAATTCTTCAATACATCATCAAAGACATTATATGATTCAAACTGGTGCTGCTAACGGCAAACAGTTAACATTCCGCAGCAGATCTGAACATTTACTTGCCTGTTTCTCTTTTTCCCGTACCTAAGCTCAATGGGTACGGTCATACGCCGCTCAGTCTTGCTCCTTCAAGTCCTTGCGTTAGAGTCTCGTCGAAAAATAGTGTTCAGATGGAGCAACAAGCTAACCTGAATGAAACTCGGAAAAACCGCTACAGATTCAATGTCAATGGAAGTGTACGGAAGTGGTTTACCGTACACACAAATTATTGAATGGATTAGAAGGTTTAAGGAGGCCCAACATCAAAAACATGCAACATTCAGAAAATTTGTAAACTGATCCGCAAAAATCGTCGTGCGATATCAAGCTCTTGACGAAATCTCAAGAATTAGGAATCTAGAAAGTTTCTGTCAAACATTTTCAAGAACCATCAAAGATTGTATAAAGTTTGTACTTGCACAAAAATGGTGCCACCCACCCATTTATAACTGGAATCACCCATCGTATTCGCCCGACCTGGACCTCTGTGATTTTTGGTTCCTTATATTTGATAATGTGGAAGTTGACGCAGAGTTCCAGCACTACTTTTGGAGAAAATAATGGAAAATTCGGAGCATTGTAGAGATCGGCAATGTAATACCAGTCTCCGGTTATTTAATTGCCACATCTTGTATTTATCATGCATTGCTTCTTTGTATATATACCATACCGAGCTAGTACTAACAATGTACGATAAAAGAAGATAATAGAATATATTTAGATCTATCCAATTTAATCTACTAGCAGTGACATATATTACTTACATTTTTCTATCTGGCATAGTTTTATCATTTAACATGCGATTCAGCCTGTAAAAAAATATACCCAGGCAATACCGAGAGTTCGTTTAAATATATCACTGTTTTAACCCTATCACCTTTTTTTGTTGATATTATTTCATCAATGAACTAAAAAGGCAAAGAAACCCCTCCGCTACTATAATCCTTATAACTACTTTGTTTTCATTTTATAGGAAAATGGAAACTCCATATTAATACACACAAATAACCAAGGCCAAAGTGTTTCTGCTCTTTCACCTTTGTTAATTCTCACTAAATGCAGTGAGATATTCCAGACAGAAAAACATTAGTAGGTTATAACTGGATTCATACTTTCACAGCAACAGTTTTTGGTTACAATATGTATCCTCTTCTATAGCTAAGCAATAATCAAAACGACGAAGTTTTTCGTCCATACATATTTCTCCATTTTTCCAGACACTTAGTTTTAAAAACAAAAATGACGAGACTATATTATACAATTTTCTCTTTAAAAAGAGTATAGTTTATTCACAAAAATTTATTTTATCCTATTCCGTTAAAAACTAAACAAAAATGAATGGTTATAAGTATGCAAAACACTGAAGACAGACAAAAATCTTAGGTCAGCGTGTAAGAATTCTGCGAACATTGATAAATCCCATCAAGATATTGTTTAAATTAATTTAATAGGTATAATTAAAATATAAGATGTAATTTTAATATCCACGTTCCCCTTTACACTTCACGCTTAAATCTGATACTTTGAAGTTCACAGAAAAATTAAAACTAAGGAACATAAGTATCAGCACATGAATTTTTATTGCTATATGTACTATTATTGGTTGTCAAGTGAATGCTCTGCAACCACAACCAAAACATACCTATACGATGTTAATCTTTCAACTTTTGAAATAAATAACAAATAAATGTAAGTACTAATGCAGATTTAAATTTGTTCTTATTGTAATTATATGAGTTAACTAAACAAAAGAGAGGTTACAAAACAAATATACAAATATAAAAAAAATTCCCTGCTCCCTTCAATAAATATTGCATTTTAATGAATCCTTAATATCTATATACTTAATAAACTTAAACAACATCTTGATTTAATATGTTTCAGCGCCAAATTCTACACACAGTCTAACCTAAATGAAAAATGATAAGGATGAATTTTTTTGCCATTCTGTTTGGCAAAGGGAGTGATCTTGAAAGATGGAAGTGTGAAGCTGTGTCTTAGGGGGAAGTAGAATCACGTGGCATAACGCTTGGTCCACAATCGTGCAATGCGATCATGCTCTTCTCGGTTTTGTAGGTATTGGGTCGCTATGCTGCCTACTAGTGGATCAGCTAAAATAATATAAATTTTAAGTATAAGCACTACAAATATTTGTTTCTAATATTAAACTCCTCAATATACATTGTATTAAAATATATTTACTTTCGTAAAATATTTATTTAGTGAGAGAATGTATTTTTCCATTATTTGTTTGAAAAATATGAATACACATAATCTGTATTTGGATACTGAAAATTATGAACTGAACTGTCAGTATAGTAAGAGTAGGCCAAGAAATTTGTTTAAAAAAGTATTATAATGGAAGAAATCAAACTAAATTGTAGTACATTAACAGTAGTTACAGTACACTGTAACAGATAATTTTAAATAGATTGATATAAGGTTGAATGCTCGAATAAATGAACTGAAATGAAATGAAATTTTATTAATTAAATCTTGTTCAAGTACTTTCGTTTTCTAAAGCATCATCAGTGACATCTGAAATAAGCCAAGAAACGTTTTTTAAATGAAGAAATTGATTAACTTCGATAAAAACTCTAAGTTAATGGATGATAAAAGATTTTTTGTGATTAATGTTTTAGACTTACTTCGTCAATTTTGGGCTATCCAACGAGCGCAGAATGTAATAAACATGAAATTAACCATAAAATTGTACATCATACTACACTAAACAAGGACAAACAGTTTAAAATTATTTAAAAATTAGTCGAAGCTACATTCTTGTCAGCAACAGGAGAGAGAATGGTATTAATGGAAATGTTAAAGAGACATGTGACATATGACAGCTTGGAAGAGCAGTCACAATCATGGAAATGTGATCTGCACATATTAAAATTCTATGTAAGTAAGCATTGACCAAAGATCCAACTGACACTACTATAGGAAATCAACTGATGAAATATGACATATAGAATATTTTAATTTAACTATAGTTATATACAAGTGGACATAAAGTGTGAATGTAAGAAATATACTAAACAATCTATTAGACAGTGGGGGGTTGACTACAATAAAATGGTCTACCAGGCACTATCAATACTGTAAAAAAGAGAAGAAATCTGACTACAAAATTAAAATACTAAAAATTAAAACAAATTGAAAGAAGTGTATAAATGGGGTATAATTCAAGTAGTTCAGTTAAACCCCCCAGTCAATGGGAGAACTATAAAACTAATATGTAAAAGCGTTACTAAAGACCAACTGACCAACAGTGGGAGATGTTGAAATATACAACTGTAGAGAGGGTATATCTAAATTACGCATAGGTATGAAGAGTGTACTTAACGCCAACTATAGATCAATTGAACCTGAGAAAACTAGTTTTGTAAATTGTTGAAGAATACAATAGTAATGTTGATCAAAGTATGAAATTAATAAATCCTTAGTAATTTAACTATCCATAAAATGGCGTTAAGTACACTCTCCATACCTGCATAATTTAGATATACCATCTCCACCGTTGTATATTTCAACGTATCCCACTGTTTGTCAGTTGGTCTTAAATAACGCTTTTACATATTAGTTTTATAGTTCTTCCCTTGACTGGGAGTTTATCTGAACTACTTGAATTATACCCCATTTATACACTGCTTTCAATTTTTAGTATTTTAATTTCGTAGTCAGATTTCTTCTCTTTTTTACAGTATTGATAGTGCCTGGTGGACCATTTTATTGTAGTCAACCACCCACTATCTAATAGATTGTTTAGTCTATTTCTTGCATTCACACTTTGTGTCCACTTCATTTGCTCTCAAACTAACAACCTTATTATTATAGACAGGTGTAAGTGTGAGATCTGGATTATGCAATCTAATTAAATTAAAATATTCTATGTCATATTTCATCAGTTGATTTCCTAAAGTAGTGTCAGTTGGACTTTCGGTCAATGCTTACCTACATAGAATTTTAATATGTGCAGATCACATTTCCATGATTGTGACTGCCCATCCAAGCTGTCATATGTCACATGTCACCGTAACATTTCCGTTAATACGGCACTCTTCTGTTGCCGACAAGAATGTAGCTTTGACTAATTTTTAAATAATTTTAAACTGTTTGTCCTTGTTTAGTGTAGTGTTCTGTACAATTTAATGGTTAACTTCATGTTTACTTTAGCCCAAAATTGACGAAGTAAGTCTAAAACATTAATCATAAAAAAACTGTTATCATCCATTACCTTCGAGTTTTTTATCAAACTTAATCAATTTCTTCATTTAAAAAACGTTTCTTGGCTTATTTCAGTTGCCCCTGATGATGCTTTAGAAAGCGAAAGTACTTGGGCAAGATTTGATTAGCAACCATACTAATTTTATTTGATTTTAAGCTCATTCTGATGAATAAATATTAAATAAATACTAAAATTGTAGTTTCACATTTAATTAATAAATATTAAAATTTTGCCTCGGGTTACTTATCGAAAAGTTGACGTTTTTCAATTCTTTAATTGTTTTTACGCCAACGTCAACTTTTTAAATTTATACAAAGGCAGAATGGTACGTACTGTAGCCGACAAAGTAGCAGCTGTGTTAATAATTTATGAATGTGGAAATAATTTCCATGCAGCAGAACGTCTTTTTAATGAAAGGTACCCCGATCGCCCTACGTCGAGAGCTTATTTGAGGAAGCTTCTTCCTAAGTTTAAGCAAATAGGTAGTGTTCAAGATTTCAAACGATTTGGTCGACCAACAATTAATGATGACAAAAAAATATATAATTTCAGAAATGGTAGTGAGACCTACTTCTTCTACAGCCCAAGTTGCATCTATCTATGGAATCAGTCAAAATACAGTACACCGAGTGTTTGTATGGCCGAAAACAAATTTCGTCCATACAAACTAAAAATTGTGCACAAACTTTCCGATGATGACCCCGACCGAGAACTAGAATTCCATGAAAATATGTCCAATAAAATTAACCAACAGCCGATTACATAAAGACAATTTGTTTTTGTGACGAAAGTACTTTTTCTCTCAAAATGGAAATGTTAACACACACACAATGTGAGGTTTTGGAGTGGCACAAATCCTCACGTCTTTCGTAAAACACATACTCAATTTCAAAAAAAAACAAAAAAAAAATGGGCAGGTATTTTGGGAAACCACATAGTTGGGCCTGTTTTTCTCAATACTATTTAACCGGTGAAGTGTATCTGGAGATGTTACAAAACGCAATTGAACCGTTAATACTTGAAATTCTTGAGGATAATCCAGATGAATTCGGCAACTTGGAAAGAACGTTTTAAAAAGATGGAGCTCCTGCACACCAATATGGTGCAGTAAGACCTTACCTAGCTGAGGAATATCGTGGTAGATGGATTGGACGACCAGGTATGATATAATGACCAGGTCGGTCACCGAACCTCACACCATTAGATTTTTTTCTGTGAGAATACTTAAATCTAAAGTTTACGCTACAGCACCCGACAATATTGACATTTTGAAACAACGAATTGTTAAAGAATGTAGGACAATATTCCCCGACACATTTTAACGAGTACGGCAAGAGTTTAGAAATAGGAAGTAAGTAAAAGAGATGAATAAAAAATAAGCGTACAATTCAAATTTATTTCTTCATCTCCTTCTGTATCAGGTAATTGATTTTGTTCAATTTTCACACCACACAACCACACAATTGTTACGTGCCAAATTGTAAACACAGCCATTATTTCTACATCCACATTTTTATAAATACGCACTTTAACTATGTAATTTGCAGGATATAAGTGTAGATACTAGTATGTGTGAGAGAATAAGTATAAAAGCACATGTGAAAGTAAAATGTGGATGCTAATACAGAGGAGATTATAATATGTATTACCTGAAACTTCACCAGTGCTACCAACTGCTTTTGGATCATTTTTTGAGCTTTATATAAAGTTGCATGAGGTATTCTGAGGCCATTTATCAACGAAATATTCAAGTTCAGCGACCTCAACAACTCCCGAGTAATGTCTGTCGACTGATTTAGAATGAAAATAACATGAAACTCCAGAGACGAGGTCACTCTGGGCACCTGATACATTGGAGACAATCACAGTCGTAATATTCGTGTTTAAAAACACAAAAACCAAGTAATGACTTTTGACTAATTTCTAATGAAAATAACAAAACTCCAGGAGCCGAAGTCCACGTCCATCCCCCACCAAGTAGTTCGAGAACTATCGCCTTGATAATATTTATATTTAGCGACCTCGAAAACTTCTTAGTATGTAATGACTTTCGAACGAAAATAACAAAACTCCAGGAGACATTGTCCAATCTAGGCACCAAGTAGCTCGAGGACTATTGTTACGAGGTTTGTCTTTTTAGTTTTGCATATAGCCGCTTAGAGGGCGCCACCAATAAAAACTTCCGACACAAATGTAATCTTAATCTTTAATCGAATCAATCGAGAGTTTTATTGCGATACAAGTCGTGTAGATGCAATGAATTTTTGAAATTAGCAAGTCAGTAAAAAAATGTATTATCCGAAACATTTTCGGAGAGGATTATCCCAACAGCAATGTCACGCTGAAATGGTTTGTGTTTGGGAATGAAGCATCACACCAGTCAACTATTTCCTGAGGGAGTTTTTTCTTGAACGAGGATTCGTCGCTCCAGTCTCAGCGACGAATCCAAGCCATGTCCACTTAAAAGAGCAGTCATACAATAAAACATTGATGCGGTTCGTCAGCTAATTAAGGATGACCGTCGTGTAACATACTGGGAGATAGGGGCATCTTTAGGTATTTCAAAGACCTCGATTCAAAAGATCCTACAGGAATAACTGGGTGTTACTAAGTTGTTTTCCCTTTGGATCTCTCATTTGCTTACGGAAGAACAAAAAGCGGTTCGCGTCATCTGGTATCGAAAAACATTGGAACGGTTCAACAAAGGAAGTTTGAAAAACGTTCAATTCAAAAGATCTACACTGAATTACCAATAGTTTACCTACCCTACAGCATGACCAGCTAATGGTAGCTTGCTTGCCTTTAGAGCTAAATACATCCTAGAGTCATATATGCCAGGAAAGAAGAAAAAATGTGCTCTTAGTTTCTAGTATGTACGACCAA